TCCCTTAAGAACTTCTTGGAGATCTGGTCTGGTGCTGGTAAATTTTTTCAGGTTTTGTTTATTTGGGAATGTTCGTGTCTTTTCTTCCCACATGAAAAATAATCTTGCTGGGTACAGTATTCTTGGTTGAAATTGCTTTTCCCTTAACACTTTGAATATATTTTCCCATTCTTTCCTCGCTTGTATTGTTTCCGATGAGAGATCTGCTGTTAGTCTGATGGGATACCCCTTGTAGGTAACTTGCTGTTTTTCTCTTGCCAATCTTAGTATCTTGTCTTTGTCTGTTGTTTTGGTCAATCTGGCTATAATGTGTCTTGGAGAAGATCTTCTTGGGTTGATTCTATTTGGAGTCCCCTCTTGAACTCTCTCTAACCATTTTAAAGTGTACATTACAGTAGTGTTAAGTATATTCACATTGTTGTGCAGCAACATTGAAAATCTTTATCTTGCAAGGCTAAAACTCTATACTCATTGAACAACTCACTAATTCTCCTCCCAACCCCCAGCCCTTAGCAACCACTGTTCTACTTTCTATTACTTTGATTACGATAGATATGTTGTATAAGTGGAATCATAACACATGTATTTTTGTGACTAGCTTATTTCACTTAACATAATGTCCAAAAAGTTTATATATGTTTTAGCATGTGATAGAATTTCCTTTTTTTTTAAAAAAAAAAAGGTTTATTTTATTTTTATTAAGAGAGAGAAATGGACATAGACAAGGACCCTTGACAAGGATTCATCAAACTTTGATCTGCCTCTAGCCTTCCAGCCAGTCAGGATTATGGACACACTCTCTCAGCATGTTTCAGGTTGACTCAGGATTTGAACTGCAGTTTTCCATGGGTCTCCAACACTGCAGAGTGGCACCTGTCTGACTGTGTCGCCATAGCTGCATCATCCTTTTTTAAGGCTGTATAATATTCCATTGTATATATAGTCCACATTTTGTTTGTTTTTTATCCATCAATGAACATTTAGGTTTTTTCCTTCCATCTTTTAGATACTGTGAATAATGCTGAAATTAACATGAATGTACAAATATCTCTTTGAGATATGCTTTCATTTCTTTAGGATATACACTGAGAAATGAGATTGCAGAGTCATATGACATAATAGTTTTTGTTTTTGTTTTTTCAGGAACTTGCATACTGGTCTCTGTAGCAGCTACACCATTTTATATTCTCACCAACAATGCATAAGGGTTTCAGTTTCTGAAAATATATATCAACACTTTTTATTTTCTGTTGATTTTATCTAATGGATATGATTTTTATTAGTATTTAATGTTTAGTGATATTGAGTATCTTTTTATATACTTTTGTCCACTTGTATTATTCTTTGGAGAAATCTATTCTTCCATGTGTCTTTGGGACCTGTCAAGTGTGTCAGTCTCTCCTCCTAGCCATGGAAGAGCATGTTATCATTTATTGGCAAAGCAGTCACAGTTTCATTGGTATCAGATTCTGAATTGCACAAGTAGCATTCTTCTCTAATAAAACCTGGAAGTTGCTGGGTTATTGGGCAAACTTTTATAAAGTATTGTTCAAATATTTCTAGGAAGCTGAGCTTACTTTTCTGATAGGTGATGGAAAACACACACACACACAAATCAAAAAAAATTTGAAGTGATAGTGGTGCTGTTTTATTCATTCTCTTTCCATGAATCACCAAACTTAAATCTTAGTTAGGGCAATGGATGTTTCAAATAGTGTTCTGGAAACTATGAGAGCATTATTTTCAGTATAGGCCTGAATTTTTAGATTATATTTAAGATACTTACTTGATATGCTTAAATAAAATACTTGATTCATGTGACTTATTAAAAAATAAAAATCTGGGGACCAGCAGTTAGCATAATGGCTATGTCGCTCGACTCCCATGTAGTCGGCAGCGGTTCAAGTCCTGGACCCAGTGGCTTAAACTCACACTGGGTGCGTGTGTGTGCGTGCCCAAGATCCTGAAAGGAGAATGGAGGAGAAGGGATTGCAGCATGGCCAGCCCCCACTGAGGAGTGATTTCTCGCTTTCTATCTCTCTGTCTCTGTCTGTCTGGTGAGTGCATGCACCCTATAGCAAAAACCTCTCCAAAATAAATAAATAAATAAAAATCTGTTCAAGTGTTTAGTTCATTTAAAACTCCAAATTGTTTTGGGTCCAGTAGTTGGTGTAATGGCTATGTCACTGGACTCCCATGTAGTCAACTGTGGTTCGAGTCCTAGACCCAGTGGCTTAAACTCAAGCCGGGCACGTTTGCGTGCATGCCCAGGATTCCAAGAGGAGAATGGAGGAGAAAGGGATTGTGGCGTGGCCATCCCTTCTGGGAGGTGATTCCTCACTTTCTTTCTCTCTGTCTCTGCCTTTCTGGCGAGTGCACGCACCCTTTATCAAAAACCTCTCCAAGAAAAAATGACAACAACTACTGCAAATATTTTTACAGTTGTTGAGTTGTAAGAGTTCTCTATATATTCTGGATATTAAACCCTTAGTAGACATATGAGTCTTCCAATTCCGTAGGTTTACTTCTGTTAAAGTATATTGGCTTGAGAAAGTTTCTTTACTCTTCCTTTGCTTTCCATAAGCAAACTGCAACCTCACTTAGAGGCTGCTTCCTTTGTTAGTTGCTAAGTTACAGCCAACCACAGCAGCTAGACTTTAGCCAATTATAGGCATCCTGCCTTTTAAACTGTGTTAACACAGACAAACTTCAAGATGTAACCAATCCAATTATTTCTCTACCCCACTCATTCACTTCTGTTTTGTATGTCACTCTCCCATTCTGGACCATAAGTATCTTTGACCATAAGGCTACCTGGAGTAACCTTGGAAGCCATTCTGGGACCCCTGATTTGAATCATGTTTATTTTTGCTCACTTGAACTCCACTAAATTAAATTGTCTGAAGTTTCTCTTTAATAATCATGGTGTCAGAAACAGGACCTGAAGTAGAGCTTCCAGTGAGCCTTGGGAACAGCAAGTCACCATGCAAAGTACCCAGTGAATGAACCCTTTGTTGCTCATTACACTCTGGTGGCAACTGAGGATTGTGGATAAGTTCTCTCTTAGATTTGAGCTCCACAGGCCTTATGTTTAGAGCTCTCTGAGTTTATTTGAGCAAATTTTTTTTCCCTTTTTTTGAGAGGTTTTCGCTATAGGACATGTGCGCTCACCAGACGGACAGAGAGAGACAGAGAGACAGAAAGTGAGAAATCACCCCCCAGGGGGGATGGTCATGCCACAATCCCTTCTCCTCCATTCTCCTCTCGGGATCTTGGGCATGCACGCACATGCGCCCGGTGTGAGTTTTAAGCTACTGGGACCAGGACGTGAACCGTGATCGACTACGTGGGAGTCCAGCGACATAGCCATTACGCTAACTGCTGGTTCCCTATTTGTGCAAATTTTTGTCTGAACCAGGTGCATAGTTGCAATAGAAACTGGACTAGGTTCAGAATTGGATTAGGTCATTAACTGGATGGATTCTGTCTGGCTGGGTCAGACAGAAACTGGCAGTAGCTATTACTGTGGTAGATGCAGTGAGATTAGGTTTTTGGAAATCTGCACAGGATTTTATGTTCTAACATCTTGGGTTTGTTTTGTTTTTGTTTTATTTTTCATATTTAGAGAAGAATCATCGGCTAAATTAGTCAATGAGAGCTCAGCGCCAAAACCAGGATAAAGTATTTCCCACTTCGGTTTTTCCTTGGCTCCAAGAGACTCAAAAGTTATGTAAAATGGAATTCCTGATTCTAAAGATCTAAGTACTTCCTGGATGCTACAATATTTACAAAAGTGGTGAGATCTTATTAATGTGAGTTGAAATTACTATGGCTATTATGAGGAAGGTTTTGTATAAACAACACTATTTTTAAAAAGCACAATTAAAATTGAGGGCTCCCAATTTAGGTCCATCCAGGGATGCCCAATGATATACAGAAGCTTCTAAAAGATTTAACATTTTTTGCCTCTTTTAAGACTTTATGAAAGGTGAGACCAGCAGGTGGGATGGTGGTTTAAGGTGCTGGACACTCCCACATGACCAACCATGGTTTGAGTCCCGGATCTGGTGGCTTCCTTTCGCACTTTCCCTCTCTGTGTGTGTGTGTCTCTCTCTGGTCAAATTAAAAATAAATGGGGGGTGGAAGGTGGCATGGTGGTTAATGGTGCTGGACTTGCAGACTCCCAGTTCGAGTCCCAGACCTGCGACTTGCTTTCTTACTTTCTCTCTCTCTCCCCTCCCCCGTCAAATTAAAATAAATGAATACATAAAGTTAAATAAAATAATACTTTAAAAATTAAATAAAGAATTCTTTTAAAAAAAAGACTATATAAAAGGTAAATGATTCGCTTAAGTGACAAAATCTTTCAAAGTTTTTACTTTGTTACTAGCCTGCTCTAAAGCAAAAAGAAAGCTACATAAAAGGCTCATTAAAATGGTTTTAAATACACCTGTAGGTCAAACTGGGTTGTTTCTCGTTCAGCGATATCCATGCTAAATTATAGGCATAGAAAATGCTTCCATTGCCTTCATTAACAAGTTCCACCTTAAAATAAAAAATTAATTAAGAAATGTGATACTTAAAAATAACACATATCACTTAAATTGGTCTTCAAAACCATAACTTTCAGGCATTTTGGTGATCTTTTTAAAAATCTTTGGAAAGGGACCAGCAGATGGCATAATGATTATATTGCTGGACTTCCACATAGTTGACCATGGTTCAAGTCATATACCTGATGGCAGGTGTGGCATGGCTGTCCCCCTGAGGGGATGATTTCTCACTTTCTAGCTCTCTGGTAAGCACATGTACCCCATAGTGGGGGGGGGGGGAAACTCTTAAAAAATTTAAGAAATCCACGTATTTGTAAATACTTCTCCTTTAAATCACTAAAGTTTCTTACAATGGAAAATGCATTAAGTTTAAATGCATAACATGAACCAGCTACATGTAGTGCAGTTGTTCAGGGCTCTGCTTAGCGAAACTTAGTCATGGTTCAAATCTTGGCCCAGGCATGTGGCTTGGAAAAGGCATGTGTGTGCATGCTACCAAACCTTCTAAATAAGATGAAAAATTAGAGGCAAAGTTATTGCTGTGTGACCACGCCCTATTGGGAGCACTTTTCTCTCCCTCTGGCTAGCCAGCACACCTATGCTCTAGCAATTAAAAATCTGCATAACAGTCTTCACTTTTGATCATCCTGTGTTTCTATTATGTGCCTTTAAAATATAAACTTTCTACTTTATTTAACCTAAAAGTTGTGCCTATTAGATAGAAACTTGAGAGAACAATTAATGGCAAAATTTACATTAAAAAGTAATGCTGAGGATAAGGTTCCACATGGCTACTGTGAACTAGATTTTTAAGGGAATGAAGACTTTCTACTAATAATTCAGCCTCCAACAAAAGAGCTAGCGGCAGAAGAAGCCACGGGCCTTCAGGATAAGGTTCCACATGGCTACTGTGAACTAGATTTTTAAGGGAATGAAGACTTTCTACTAATAATTCAGCCTCCAACAAAAGAGCTAGCGGTAGGGAGCCCCCCTCTGCGCCCCCAGCCTTCTCTCTCGGTCTCTCAGTTCCTGTCTCTCCCTGCTTCTATCTTCCCTTTTTTTTTGGGTAATATTTATTTCCTTTTAACCCTTTCTTTATTTAAAAAAAAAAGGCCCAGTATTTCTCTGGCTCTTAGCTCCGCTTTCCTCCTTGTTAATTTTCGCTCTGCTCCTCCCATCCAGGCAGAAGAAGCCACGGGCCTTCAGGATAAGGTTCCACATGGCTACGCGGTTTTGTATTTTGTGATTTTTTTTTTTAAAGAAGAACAGTAATTACAAATTTTTAATTTTTTAATTTTTTTTCTTTTTTTGTTGTTTTTCTCTGTCTCGTTTTCTTTTTTCTTGTCTCTTCACTCTCCAATATCCTTTCAGTGTGTTTTTAGACAGATCTAAGATCACTGTAGCTAAACATTCAAATACTAATAGGGTTGAAATATTCCCCACTATCTTCTGAATCTGCTGCACCAGCAAGCACAATAGAACAGCAAAGAGATTCTGGATCACCTCTGTCTGCTTGCTCCTTAACATTAAGGCTGAACCTCCAGAATTTGAAAGAAAACACAACATTCATCAGATGACAAGAAATCACCGCCGGATCACGAGAAACATGGGAAAACAAGAAAATACCTCTCCTCCTAGGGAAAAGAGTAACTCTTCATCCACAAGCAGTTCGGTGAAAATCATGGAAATGTCTGATAAGGAATTCAGATCATTCATAATGTCTAAGCTAACAGAGATGGAAGAGAAGAGAGATAATGAACTACTAAAGAGAAAGGAGAAAGAGATTGACGAGTTCCAAGAGATGAGGAAATTCCTGCAAGATCTAAAAGTGGAATTACACACTTTACAAAAGACTCAAACCGAACTGCTAGAGATGAAGTCTATAATACAAGAAGTCAAAATCTCCCTGGAAAGCATTAAAAGCAGACTAGATCATTC